GAAAGTCTTGAAGACTCGGAAAGAGCGGATCTGACTCAGCTGACTTCAGAGAACTCAGCAATTGCGAAAAGAAGCGTTGATCGGTCGTAACTAGGAAGGAACACTTACTGTATTTGGTGTTCATTCTTCATTTGGTGTTCATGCGGGTTGATTGAACGGGTTCTTCAAACACATTCGTCCAAAATACAATCCGAAATCCATTGGTTACCATAGGGTTTTTATACTTTACACACAGATCAAGCCTACCAAAGAAAGCAATTATATGCACTCACAACAATTGCCTCAGCTTCTACAGCATGGGTTCGCTCACTTCCAGGATTTGAGGAGACTCTCATAAGCAAACAAAGCCATAGTTTTTGCTTTTGGATCAGCTCCAGTTTCCGAATCCAAGTGTCCCAAGGATCCAGGTGTCGGCAGTATAGGCACAAAGCCGCTTTGAACATCTGAGAGCCTAGATCTACAAGTTTGCTACAGCGCTCCCAGGGGAAACAGACGTTCTTCAAAACGGCATCGCTACTAGTAACAAGGGCATCGCTACTAGTAGCTCCTGGCATTACTACTAGTAGCTAGAAGCTACTGATCATATTAGGATCATCGTGGATCAAACACACTGTCCGGCTCTGAGCAAGGTGAGTGTCCCACACACGAGGTGCAGTGTTCCATTGCTGAGGGCCCTCTTGCCGTGACTTGCCAAAGCCTGGCAGGCGTCAGGGCTTTCTGTGTTTATTAGGCCAAGCATACACATATGTCAAGCAATCACCGCTGAACAAAAAGGGATGGGTTCAATGGAATTCATCGCGTTGAGTTCTAGATGAAGACACACATCCGTGGTGTTCTTGAACGCATGTTGTTTCCATCCTTCCACGGATGAGCACTTGCCTTAGCCTGGAGTTTCTCGTCCTACACGCCCTGAGGGCGACACAGCGCCACACGAGATATTTGCATGCCATGGCAGACCTTGCCTGTGAGAGCTTTGTGATTGCTGCCGCACTGACATTGAGAGTAAATGACTTGCTGATGCCTTTGGAAGGGAAAGCAACGTTTTGCAAGCCCCAAAAGCCCCCGTTTCAGTGCGCATGAGCCGAGGATGCTTTGTTCTTTGTTTGCAAGGAGCACTATCTTGAGTGAATCCGTGCCCGACATACTTTCTCCCTTTTTTCTTTTGCTTGACCAGTGCCTGTGAGCTTTGGATCTTGTTCATATTGACGCAGGTTTTAAATCAATCTGCCGAACGGCCTCCAGCAATTGCTCTAAAGAGACGAATGCTACTGTAGATTATTCTGAGCATTCAGCCAGATTGTACTCAAAAGACCTCACCACCCCCAATCTGCGAGTCCTGACTGCTTCGTATGTTGTCATCCTGAACTGGTCACTGGCAGTTTTTCGAGCCACCCCAAACGGTTCATTTCAAACGTTGGAACTTGTTGAAGCTAGCCGTTGACCCTTCTGGCCATGGCGAATGTAGCTGTGACCTTTACAGTGGAATGCTCCTGCACAGAACATGGAGCCTCGAGCGCAAGAGATCGACTGCAGTCCTTGTCGAAGTACAACGGCAGTTTAGTGTGGCTGGGGAGGTCTTAGGTTGCAGCCCCCCGGCGGTTTCAAGGGATCTAGAGAAGAATGAGACAGCATCATGTGTCAGCATTGGTTGCACAAAAAATCTGCTACTGTAATTGATTTGCAAAACCTGAGTGTTCCATGCAGGTCCATGCATGACTGCATGACTGGCGGCGCCACCTAAAAAATCCAACCTCATTCTTTCAGATTTCCTTCAGCCTTATGGCAACTAAGACTCTGCCCCTTTTGTTGCTTTGGCTTGGTTTGCCCCGATTGCTTTTCTTGTAGTAACAAGAAGCTACTGGGAGCAAGGGCATCGCTACTGGTAGAAAAGGGCATTACTACTCACTACTAGTAGCATTCTTACTACCAGTAACAAGGACGCTCCTATACGCACTGGTTGCCCTGGTTGCCTGCTCGTTGATTTGTGGCTTCGGTCCGTTGAGGTGAAGAGGTTTATGTCGTGGGATCTCACAAGAAGCTGGGCGCATGGGATCCCCTTGAGGCGTGGTTCATGGTCGTCTACGTAGAATGCCCTGGAATTATTCGCATGCCAGTGGAGCCTTGCTGTTTACGTAAAGGTTTGAGACCTAGGTCACTACACTATAGTTCTTAGATGCCTTAGGTGTCCTTCGTTTTTTACAAGCAATGTATTTGTAAATATATAATATATTTGTATTGTCTATACATGTTTTGTTCTACTATCCAAGACTGAGACTTGTCGGACTTGAGTTAGCTTCCGTGAACTCTTTGGAGCCAACTTCCGTGAACTGCTGGAAGCCCCGCCAAACCGAATCGACTCAAAGGATGTTTGATCCCCGCGCGTTGGATGTTGGAGCTTCCCTCTCTTCCGGTAGGCTGTGCGGTGTACGACCACTGCTGAAAACTTTCCGCGGTGGACATCGAGCCCTGTGTCTCTGACAAATGGAAGCAGGAGTCTGAATCAGACGACTTGAGAGAATGCTAGAGCTAGCATGAATCAACTTTTGTCCCATAATACACGGTTTAATTTCAATACAAAAACAAGAGCTTCTGCCGAAGAGCTCCATCTCAACGAGGAAAGTGTTTTGGGTCCCTTGCCATCAATGGGAAGTTTCAAGTCGCAAAAGCTTGAGTTGGCGAGTTGCAACAAAATACATCAAATGAGCATCCTTTGTCAGCCTTGACGTCCAGGATCGAGTTCAAGACGGTGATCCGTGGCCCCGGGGGCAAGAAATGGGAGCACGGTCAGAACCGGCTCTTGCAGCTCTCAGTGCCTTCGCATGAGGCACCCAGTTGACTGCGATAGGATTTGGGACTGTTTCGAAGCTTTTATGCTTTTACTAACTTGATTGTGCTACGGCATCAGCCACTGAGATGAGAAAGGCCCGACATGGTGGGCCGACTGAAGACTGAAGGCTTTCGACGCATCCAACAAGTTTACAGGACAGGGAGGACTAGGTTAAGTTAAGTTTCCCGAAAATCCAGGAACCAAATCATTTGTTCGAGTGCTTCTTCAAGGGAGCTCGCTCTGGCGGGGGGAGCTTCCTTTTGAGTCCAGTAGGTAGTAGCTTAAGTACCTAGGAGTGAACAGACCCCCAGTGGGCTTAAAAAGGCCGACCTCTTTAAAGACAACTCATCAGTCGGCCCCAGAAAGCCCGGGCTGGAAGCCTCGGACTCGGGCAGGCTCGGACAAATGTGGCATTCACATGGGGCCAGCCAGGAGTCAATGAGACTTGGCAGAATCTGCAATGTGCCGTAGTTTCTGGCTACTGGCACCTTTAAGCACTGAAGATTTGGGAATGCTCCCAACGCTGACATACGCTGACTAGGGTCAGATTCTGTGGTAGTTCACGGTTCGTTCATGAAATATATGCTACCGTATCGTCCAATGCGCGATGGTCTCGTCCCATGTCATCGAACAGGTGCCATGCTTCACCGAAACGGTGGCGTTGGGGTCTGCTGAGGAAGAGGACGATCGGGTCAGTGAAATGACGGGCGGCGCACGGAAGCCAAGAGCGACGACGCCAAGACCGTCTGGGACCGTCGAAGTCTCCACACGGTGGGAGACCGGCCTTCCATGTCTTTCGCAAGATCTCTGGATAAGCCATGGACAAACAAAAAGACAACTCAAATCTACGTTCTTCATTCTACTGAGCCTACAATGATGGATTTCTTCGGAGAACCTCCCTCGTTCCGAGAAGACTGCTCGGGTGCCCAGTTCCGGCGCGCGACCTCTGGTGGCTCCGAGAAGAGTGGCCCTTTGACTCGGAGCCCTGGACTTCAGGGGAATTGGTGGTCTTGGAAGCACTAGGCTAGGAGCAAGAAGCTACTGGGGGCTCCTGTCCGTGCTACTAGGAGCAAGGACGCTGCTAGGAGCAAAGGGCATCGCTACTAGGAGGGGCTCCTGGCCGTACCGAGCCTGCGGTGTATCGGTGTACGAATGGGAGTTGTTCGAATGGGACGTGGCTGTGGGTCAAATCCCGGAGTTGTAAACCCTGGTAGGTTGACCTCCTTAGTAGTCCGTTGCGTTCATTTTCCGTGGTCAATGAGGGTTCCCCGGTTTTGACCCACAGCCACGTGGGGATCAACAGGGCATTCCGAATTCCCCAGTCGACAAGCAACCTCGTATGATTTTGTGATTTGTGGAGGTCAGTGGCTGGGCTTGAATGAAACATCGAAGGGCAATTGGCACCAGAGATCCATATTATGTGGCAGTAATTTGCACTCTTCGTCCGCAAAAATGCATGGAGGAATGCATGAAACACATTTAGCAATCAGGACTGCCGAAACTCAGAGGCATACTGGCATACTGTATGTCATACTTGCACCCTCAAGTATCGTCTCGTAATAAAGCTTGAACCAAGTCACCTCCTTTCTGGAAGAAGTGATAACCCAAAACTGACCAAGGTCAAGTTTCCCTAGAAATCTAGGAACCACATCATTAGTGCGAGCGCTTCTTCAAGGAAACTCCCGCTTCCTTGAAGAACTGTGAGCTATCCTGCGTCCTTGGTAGGCGCTTCCTATTGCTAGTAGCGAACTACTCCCTTACTTAATCAAGTACGATTAATTCAGTAGGGACGGGGGGGAGCGGGCTTTAAACACAACACATGGCTATGCTACGCTTGTTTTTCGGAACTTCGGAGCACCGACTCTTCGGACCGAATGAGACTGGACCAGCCAGGATGATGGAAAGCGGATCCTCGATGAGTCGTCGTGGCAGTCGTCATTTGTGCAAGACTCGGAATGGCATGGTGAACGAGGAGATGACCAGGCAGGGCCGAGTTGAGCTACGTCGAACGGCCTGCCAATGGCAACGACGCGGGCTCAAGATGGTCTACTGCAAGTATTTGCGCCACCTAGGTCGTGGGGTAAGTAGGGCAGCTTGAATTCTTCATCTTTCACTGGTGTGCCATGAAGGGCTAACCCCAATTCACAGCGATGACAAGCCAAAGTGAGAGGACTCCGAGCTTGCTGTTGGTGGATTTCCGTGAGTTTCAAGAAGCTGCCGTGGAGCACGAGAAGGACTGCAGCGCTGTAGCGCTAGCGGAGCGAAACGGAGCGATGCGAGTTGTTTGGTGCAGATGTGGATGTGGGCTGGACAGGGGTGGAGATGCAGTACTCGTACAGAGTGACAGACTGCTTGACCTGCCCAATCAAACTGCTGTCCAGCGCACTACAGTACATGGAGAGAACTTCCAACTTCTGGTACTAGATGGTGCTAGTGTCGTGGGATGCGCAGCATCAAATACGATAAGATGTTCTCTGTAGGCAACAACCCTAGCTCCAGAGAACACCAGAACTGGCGCAAGGAGTTGGATGACATCGAAGAGCGTGCCAAATTGAACAGGCACTGTGTTCGAATTGGACATTTTCCACACAAGCGCATTGGAGATTTGACGAACACTACATCTTGTGGCATGATCTGCACAAGTGTTTCCCGATAGGATTTCCTTCCCAGTTGTGCTGTGCCCACACTGTGAGGCTGCAGAGGAAGATGAAAAGCACTCAGCTCATCGAGCGCATGGCGAAGATCACCGACGCTCGGTGGGTGTGGTTATTCCTGCCCAGGTCACAAGGTTTAGTAGCCAGGTTGGTGGGGAGGTGCTTAGGATTGCAGGGTTGTTCTGTTTTGGGAGTGAGGATTGCAACTCAATTTATGGTGTGGATGGTATGTACGGTTTTCGATATGCTTTGCTTCTTCGTTGGAGCCAAGGACACCGTGGACCCCTCAAGGACTGTTCTCCTACAAGGCTGCGATCGCCGCCGTCGGTGGACACACTTGGAGGATTGCTCCAGAAAGCGAGGTCTGTTTTGCATTGTTCAATGTTTGTCAAATATTTGTAGTATGTAACCCTGCTTTGCGGTGGGTGATAGGATTTCTTGGAGGCAGTTGTGTGGAGAACCTCACGTTTCTGGAAAGGCAGTTGGTCTGTTGTTGGTCTCCAACGTGGGCAGCCTGCACTTTGAAGATCATCCAGCCGATAGTACCACAATGTACCATATAGACAACTATATCATAAAAATAAATACATTATCATAATCATATATAGAATAATAGCAATTAATAATACTGATACATATAAATACTCGTTCTTTGACCGAAAATCATGCTTCGGGCAGAACCTGCGTTGACCCGTCTACCCTTTGCTGTCGGGGGTCCAATATGGCAATGTGATTGGAGCAATATCCCTGCAGGCTCTACAGCACCATGAATCATCGGACCAGGAGCACTTTAGCAGGAAGATGCCAGAACATACGATCTTTGAAGAGGATCATTTCACAACGACATAGAATCATAGTGAACATCTACTGTATATATTCTATATCCACCCTCCTCAGTTCCGTTGTTTTTCAGAAAGGCTGTGGATTTTGTCGGCTTCCTCAGTTCCATCACGTCTGCTTCAGTTCGGCCAAGTAAATCATCCCTTCAGGCTTCAACTGGGAGAGCTGGAGAGCCGGTGGAGGAGATTTCTACAATGTGCCATGGTATAAAGTCTCAAGCCGCTCAATTTGCCGCTCAATCTTTCTTTTCGCCAGGTTAGGTGGTCAGTGGTAGCACACTACTTGGATCCTTCAATCCCCAGGGAAATTGACATAGGGGTACAGTCACCCAGATCATACGGTTCGGCCTACCCACGCCCATGCCAGTGTCACCAAGGCAGTCGGGCGCAAGGTACAGCTGTTTCATGAAACTGGGCAGCATTTCATTCTCTACAGGTGTCTATGAAGTGCCAGAGGGTCTTGGAAAAATATGACATAGTTCAGTTCTATTGCTTGCTTTACTGAGAGGTCGTCTTCACTCTGGCATGTGTTTGGAGGAACAGTTTCGGTCCGATCAGCTTTGGAAATTTCCTCGTGCGAAGGAGATGGGCTTCACAGATCTCTGGCTTCCACCCTGCTCACAATCGGTGGCTCCTCAGGTGCAGATACGGGGCCAAGTGGTGCCGATGGATACATCCAGTCATCAAGAAGCACTTCATCGCACTTTCATTTCCAAACGGGGCTTTTAGGTCTCGCAGCATCACTCAAGCGCGTGGTCTTTCAATGAACTCGGATGCTGTGCAGGGTTATCTGCCGTCACAGCTCTTCAACTTGGATGGCTCCAAGTATGGCACCCAACAAGCCTTGGAAGACCTGTTGCTGGGCGTGAGGATTGCCCGATTTTCGCAGTTGGTGTGATTAAGGGAGGGAGTACCACTTCAACGGTGTTTGGATGCAGCGCTTTGCTCGATTCTCAAACCTGGACATGGGAGAGAGGAACAACGTGGGTGCGCATGGTTGCCTTGACAAAGCTAGATTTTGTGTGTTGTTGAGATTTGAGACTTGTGGGTTGAGGGCGCTCCGTGCCGTAGAAGTGGATTCCTTTCGATTCCAAACAATCCCGCTCTTTTGGAAACGAATCGAAGGTTGGAGAAGTGCCACAAGAACGGGATCCGCTGTATGGCTGACATCGTGATCAATCACAGGCAGGAACGATGGCCAGGTCAAATTCAAGCAACTCATTCCCTCTTACAGGGGACATGAAGGGCTTCACTGGACACTACGAGGCCCAGGCTATCTAGTAGAAAAATGGTTAATTCTTTGTTGCAGAGCTATTTTGCTGTGCTTTTCAATTTTGTCCACGGTCCACTCACCGGATCTCAGATGTGCCAGATGTGGACAAATATGGCAGGTGTGGCGATCGTCAAGATGGTGAGGGGCGATGGAATCAATTCTCGAGCGGGATGCAATCCAGGAACGATGGGAGCATTGTTTGACAGCGAACCGCTCATCAAGAATTGTTTGACAGGTTTGCTTTCCTTGTGTCTTCCTAGACAACTGAGCATTCCAAAGGTTCGCGAACTCAAGCTTGTGCAAAGCGCTGTACGCTAGCTCAAAAGAGATTCAAGAAGACCCAATATGGCCGTGGCTACCTAAAACGAGCCTTCTTGAAGATCATCCACATCAGCATTCTGGAGCCGGTGCACATTCTGGGGCAATTTTGTTGGCAAAAACAAGTTCTTTAGACCAAACTACGACAGCTCGCTCTTTGTCTCTGTGGCCGCCCACACGCCATTACGCGCCTCTTGAGGCCCAGCTTTGCCGGCGTGGCAGACTGGGGTGGCTGGGCCGTCACCTTGGGGGACCAATACTCCGACGGAAGTGGCCGCTTAGCCGAATGGAGCACATTTCATTTGTAATTCTTTTTACAAGGCTTTTGAATGGGAAACACTTATACAGACCCTGTGCTCATTTGCAAAAGGCCTAATCTGAAGCATTATTTAACCCAGGAATGCATGGCCCTGGCCATAGTGACGGTCGTTTCGATGCTGCTCCAGATATCGACCATCGACACCCCAAGGCTGCAAGGGTGGACGGCATTTGCCAATTTTGTTTTCGTATGATTTCGTCATATCTATCGGTACTGCGATGCTATGGCTATGTGATGCTATGTCTATTGATAGTTCATCAATTAAATTAGTAACTAGTAGTCTTTTCAGATTTCAGCCTTGATCTTCTCCTTCGCTCGAATGAACCTGGCCGTGGAATTTGGTCGATCTTTGTGTGCAAGGTCTTTTGGCGTACCCTAAATTGGCCGACTTGGTCAGAAGAAGCTAGACATGTTCTGAAAAGATGACGCTATGTCTAGGTGCAGGAATGCATCAGCATTTGGTTGCGATGGCTTCGTTTGCAGGCCGGGGGTTCTCCATCACTTTCTTGTGGACCACTGGGTTATATCGTCACTTGCCAAAGAGCATGCAATTCAGTTTCTATCTCTCCATGCAATGGCAGTGATACCCGCATGTGGAATTCTGGAGACGCCCAAAGGAGTTGAAGGATGGCATTCTAGACGTGAATGCACCTGGGAGCTTCGAACTTGGTGTACGTAGGCTTCATGTATGTGCGTATACATGGGTGCTCCTCCAAATTGGAGGGAACATCGAAGCTGGCAGGTTGGCTTCGATGGGTGGCGCTTTGACTTCGTCAAGGGGTATGGCCCGGAGTTTGTCGGAGACCTGGTGCACATCAATAAAGGGCTTGGGCCGCTTGGGGTAAGAGCCAAGCAAGATTGGTTGTAGTAGGCCAAATGATCACACTCCACACATTGCGAACTCCGCGTATAATATACATACACATTATATATATATATATATCACAACTGAATTTAGGTAACATAATATATATATATATAGATATAGACTGTCCGTGACTGTCCACAGGCCGTTTTGGACTGGAATACCTTTTTTAGGGGTTGAGGGGTTGAGCTCAAACATTCAGCATTTCTTCCTCAACCAAAGGAGCTTTCCACAGCTTCAGGGTGTTGCTATGCCCAACAACGGGAGATGTATGAGCCGAGCTCAGATTTCGTTTAAATTTGTTTCACGGGTTGGCTTTCCAAGGAAAGTACTGCGACAAGAGCCATCCTGCCTGGGCGGTTGGTGAGCTCTGGACAGACATGAACTATGACCTCCACGGCCTTTGTTCCATGGCATATGGCGATTTCGGCAGGAAGATCTACAGAAAAGTGCTTGAACCCATCCCAAATCGTGATTTCCCGCAGATTCTCCAAGAACCACACGGTCTTCTCTTTGGTGTTGTGACTTTTTCTCCGAAGCAAGCAACTTGGACGGTGGCCGCAGTAGGGCCGTGCATGAATGAAGCAAAAGGATACGTTTTGCTTGTCAACCAGCAATGAACATTAAACATCATGCAACTGACACATCTGCCAACACTCTCAACAGTTCCATGGCTTGAAGAGCAGTTTGCATTATTTGGACGCCCGGTGTTCGGTGTGTCCGTGGTGCGGAAGTCCTGGCTGGTTTTGACCAAGGCTACAATCAAGATAAGCATCGGCAGACCTTGGTCGACTGGGTGAACGCGACTGGCAAGAAATCAACCGAGTCTTGTCAGTGGAATGGGTAGCAGAGCTGCCTGATTCGATTGGCCAACTGGGACTTGGGAAATTAGACTCCTCGAGGTTCAATGAGTTTTCTTTGAGTAGGGAGCAGCACAGCTCCAGATTGATGAAGCTCCATTGCAGTCGCACACACACACATACACATACACATGTTCTGCAACTTGTCCTTCGCCCGCCAAGGCCTTTGACTTTACCACGAAAGGAGTTCTTCAAGAAGCCTGCAGATTGACCCAGTTCTGGAGGCCATTTAGCGTTCACAGCCTTGACTCATGGAGGTCTCTGGGTTCTGATGCTCTGGGTGCCGCGATGTGCTTCATTTTAGTACTGTAAATCTTCCTGTCAAAGAGTCTGACATGCGACCTAGCTGACCTTGCTACTGTGAAGAGCAAGTCACAGAGGAAAGCATGTCTTGAACCACGCAAGTTGAAAATGGCAGAGAGAACATGCAAGTACAATTAATACAAAAGCGGTGAGAAACAGTTTGCCACGACCAGCACCTACAGAAAGATGGAACACAAGACATTTGGTCCTGGAGCTGACCTGCAGTCTGCGTCTATGAATCACCCCAGCAAGGATGAGGAAGGTGTCGGTTTCAGGGAATCTAGGAATCGGCAAATCCATGGGTGACAACTTGAACCAGCAAGGTGAACTGCCAGGCAGCCTGCCTGGGGTTGGGTTGCTTGACCGCGCTGCACGGTGCATCCTGCGTGAGGCTCCGGGACAAAGACGGCAAGCCTCCCGGGCTCATCGGGTGGCTCCCGCTGCTCGGTGGCCGTGGTGACCCAGTTGGTCCCAGTCGGTTGTGTCTTAGGTGTGTCTTTGCAAACAGAAGCTGCAGGGATACGGTCAAGTCCCAAGTCCCCACTGTGTAGGGAAAAGTCTCCAAGGAGATCTGAGATCAGGACAACTTTTTGTGGTCAGAAGAGCCAGAGATCCTAGTCAGTGGCCGGCACCACCATGGTTCATTATACTCGTACAATTACCGAGTACTTCTTGAGAAGATGAGAGATGGTTGATGTGGATAGGATAACAGGACCTGTCCTGCTTGTCGAAAGACCATGACGGACCATAAGAGCAGACTTTCGAGCTGCAGCGGCAACCCTGCATGTGACTCAGGCAATATGCGGTCACTTTCATCGACAACCACGACACCGGAAGCACTCAGCGCCATTGGCCTTTCCCGGATGACAAGGCGCGAGAGCCGACCTACGGAGGCCGACCTACGGAGGCAAATTGTTACTACTAGCGTGGCACTTGTTACTACTAGCTTCTTGTTACTACTAGTAAGGCACCTGTTACTACTAGCGTGGCACTTGTTACTACTAGCTTCTTTTTACATTTGTTTGTATGACGTCATGACGTCTATACTTTGCGTGGTCATGGCTAAAGTCCGCGGGAGGCAAATCAGGAAAAGGTCAATTTTCAGAGTTTTATTTGTGAACCGACCGACCCGTGAATTCAGGGTGAGGAAGTTTAAGCCCGTGATCTTGAACGTTGTGAGGTTTCGAAAGGTTTGGAGGTGGCACCTAGATTGAAGACTCATTGGGGTCTGCACGAGCTGGTTTTCTATGTTTTCGCTTTGGCTCTTTTGGACAGCTTTGTTGCCCAGGTCCTGATTGGCTATGCATACATCCTGACGCACCCAGGAGTTTGGAGTGAAGTTTGTGATGGCTCAGGGGGGATTGGGCTGTGGAACTCCTGCTTTCATTTCTGAGAGAAGCTATTTGCAACACCTCTCTAAACCAGGCCTTGCTTACTTGTGGTGTTTTGGTTTCAGTGACGGCCCACGAAAGTCGATGGGCCTACTTTGCACCGTGTCCTTGTGCACAGGTAGCCGAGAGAGAGGTAGAGACAGCCTGCTGCATCCCATACAATTGTGAATTGGGTTGTTGTTGCTGCTTGCTGCTCTCTGTAAAGCAGGACTTTTTGCATGGTACCCCGACTCCCGAAGTCAAGAATTAAGACAACCAGCCCGCCGGAGGAATCCCGTCCGTTTTTTGGGATCACATCATGGAATGGGGTGACGAGCCCCGCAAGAAGATCGGCTCATTGATGAAGGCTCGGCGCGATGCAGGCGCGGAGTTTGAATGTTGGAACCAGCACAGTCAGGGTGGTTGATGTTTCAATAAATGGATTCGCACTTGAACAGATCCCTTACCCAACAAGCGGGGCTTGGCAAAAGCTTTTCATACTTGTAGCTGCTTCCCTAGCAGAACTTGTTTGGGCGCTCAGATTCTTAGATCATCATCCGTGCCAATCTGTGCGAAACGTCTCGCACAGCCATTCCGGTGGACGCGCCCGTGAACATCCAATGCGCCGACGACACCCTCTACCTGGCGGAGATCGGCAATCCCCCAAGCTTGCGGGTGGCCCTTGGCCCGCGCCCTGCTGGGCAGCCTGATATGACGTTCGGCTCGAGACAAGCAGGGAAACCTGCAGGGAGAAGGCATGAAAGACCATGAAACCCAATAAACGGCCAGCAGTATACGCAACTTTACGGCAGCCACCAACATGGTAAGGACCTGTAGAAGCGGTCAGGAGTGACACTGAGATACACTGAGTAAGTGCACGTACCCAACAAACGGTTTTGCCGTTAGGTGGTTTCTTGGGATTTCTGGTAGTTGTATCGTTTATTCTAAGCTTATATATATATATAATTATAGTATATTATAGTTTGTGTAATTTGCTTGTGAATTGCCAGCAGTTTGAGCTTGGCCAGCTTGGATCTCAGGAACTACTGGACCAATGGGCCCTCCGGGCATGGCTACCGGGTTTGGGTGAAACGAACGGGCTCTACGCAGAAGTACAGCTCGCTGAATGCCTCGCCGGAGGTGCACTGCCGGGAACTGAAGCAGGGAACAAGCCAGGAGTAGCCATATGTGTGTTTCAAATGGGTAGCAGAATGATACCTTCGACCTGGGAGTTGAAAGAATTATGGCCCATTTAGCCTATTCGAGCAGGTTGAACCAAGAGCTTGGGTTCGAAGACTCTAAAGAGTGTAAAACGAACTCTTGTACACAATGTTGGTTCGAGTCCTTCTATCCAACATCACAGCGATTCATACCAGATTCCTGACTAGATCTATAAAATGACTTTCTATCTTGCAACTGTTCCTTTCAATGAGAATCGAAGGTTGAGTTCGCACTCAATGGCCGAAGGTCTCGCGGACCGGGTGCGATCAGAGGTTCATAGACGTTACAATATTATGTCTTTGGTGACCCTCTGCTTCTGAAGCGGAGCCAGGCGACGCCTCTGGGCTCTCCACGCAGGAAGAAGGAAGGTGCGGTCGGTCTTGGTCCAGAGATGTTGACAGCTGAGACTTTGAACTTTGGCGAGAAGAGAGTCCTGCAAGCTCCCAGCGAACTTTTGGTCACATACATACTGTACTAATACTAATATATATGATATATATCTGTGGGCAGTTCAAAAGAAGGGGAACGCCGCATCCAGTGAATTGCTTCAAAATGCTTCAACCCGAGTTTGAGAAGGGCTGGAAGCTCGCAAGGAATTTGTGACTCTACGAAGAGTGGGTTAACCAGCAAGTCTTGTTTGCCCACGGCAAGGACTACAACCAGAGAGTTCAACTTGAGGATTCTTCATTAAGTAGCACGACCAGTGGGTGTGGGTCCAACATACGGAGCTTCACCAATCAGAGGGCTTGATCTGGTTGGTTTTACTTCCACGTGTTTTTGCATGGTGTCCCTCGTGCTAGTCACTCCGTTCGGCCGAGGAAGATCATGGATGTGCCTCAGCTTCAGAATCTCAAGGAACGTTTGCAGGCGTGTTTGCTGCTCATGCTTGCTGGGCTGGGAGTGGAAGCATAGGAGAAGTCTCTGCAAGCTGGGTCGACAAGGGAAAGCTTTGGGCACCATACGGTTACATTTGCCTAAGGAAGAGATCAATCCTGCCTGAGACCTTGTGCATGCGTTTCCAGAACCTTTTCAAACCAGTCATTTTTTGTTGCAAGACCGCTTGTTGGAATCTAGTCTATCGACCCAAACCCAGCGACTGAAGAAACCTGTTGGCCCCAAGGCATTGGTCAAGCACACAGTGGCACACAGCCAATCTTTGCAAGGAACTCTTGCATGCGTTCAATGCTTCCCCTAATTAGGATACTATTGGGATGCCTGGTGGCAACAGAGCCAAGACACCACATGAGATACCCCAATACTATACACCATCATTATATATATATATATATATACACCAAATTCACAGTAAATAGCCAGTAGCAAGCACACGTGCTAGGTGATGGTCGCAGCATCCGTTTCCCTAGTCTTGGAAGATTAGGACTCAGCAGGAGCAGCCTTCATGAGTTTGCCCGTCTCTTGAACCCCAAGACCTCGCAGGCCTTGCTGAACGCCACGGACGCAGCATTGGCACATCGAAGGGCCAACGGGTAGCTTCGGCTGAGCATCGGGCGATGGCCATGTTTTTTCGACGTGCTGAGCTTATTTTGGTTTGGCACGTGATGGCACCCAAAGAAGTTCGTTTGAGCTTAGCCCAGTTCGACGTGTTGTTTGGTTCGGCTGCCGGTTTGGAATCTGAACGAAGCAGAAGAATCCCATCGGGGATTTCACCTAAAAGGTGGCAGAGCAGGTTTCCAACTTATTGCCAACCTGCTCTACCAATCGTGGCAAAGCATACTTTGGTCAAACCCATGCTTGTTTCAGAAGTGAGTAAAAGCGGCTGGCATGAATCATTGGTATTTTTCCAGCCGGCAAATACATACACTAAACACAGGCGACGCAGGGGACTGCCAGCCTTGCCCAGGTCTCGCTAGTGAATTGCCTGACCAAAGGTCGGAGGCTGGCACCTAGCGATTACGCTGGACGGCAACGACTTCAGGATGTTTTGTCCTAAGATCGGTGTTTTCATCATTTTCTCCAGCAGGCTATTGATGCAAAGCAGCTGCCTTTCAGGAATTGGATAAAGCATACGAAGCTACACGAAGCTGCCAAAGCTCCGAATTGCCTGTGGGAGTTTAGCGCTCGGCGCTTCCCCGCCGCGACAAGTGTAGCGCGGTGGCGTTTCAATGGGCTGCACGCTCCATGCAATTGTCAGGGCTGGAAATCTCTGTGAGAATCTCGCAGACTTGGAGATCCATGTGCTGCCTTGGCCGGCTGCAAAATGCAATTCTCAGGCTCATGGATCTCGGTGCAAGGTTTGTGATGCTTGTGTGTTTTCTTATTTTCCTTGGAATACTCCCTGGAATACTCTGTATGTAGATGTGTAGCTCCATAGTCGAAGAGCGGAGCTGAAAAGGGGACCTGCCTTTCAGGAGTCAGGCCCGAAGTCTTTGTCCAACTCCGCTTTAAACATCTTGGGCCATCACAAGTAGGTTGGAGGCCATCGCTATTAGATCGTCGAGAGTTCGCCTCTTGGGCTTCCTGTGTGGCTTTAGACATGCTTTGTACCAAATGCACCTTTGTGTGGCCTTGGATTGTTTTCCCTTTCGTTTGGCCGCTGGTCTTCTCCTGCTCTCCTCTCTGGGTGGAAGTCATTTGCATACACTTGCAAGGATCCTTTGAAGTGCATCTCAGAAGAATTGGCCAAGCAAAAGCACAGGGATTGGCCCATTTCCAGCCTGAATCGCAGAGTGGCATGGCCCGGTTTCAAAGGGACGGAGCCGGTGCTGTTGACATAAAATTGTCCGCCCAAAGCAGAGATTGAACCCTTTGTGATACTTCCAGTACATTCCAGTAGCAGGTCTTTTGTGTGGTGGCTTTCCTGAAACTACAGAACCTTGGGCGGTGACTGGCTTGGGGAAGCACCAGGTCTTCCGAAACGATTTCAGAGTGCTCGAAAATTACTTTCGCAGGCCTGCATGTGCAAAGGAGCCATGCCAAACGTGGGTTGATCATTTGCGATAGTCATCAGTGAATACCAGTGAGTCACCAGTTATATACCAACTTCATCCAACTTAAATTTTCAAGCTGGATCAACCTTGAGCCTGTTAGACGCCCCCTTCCTCACAGCTTGGATTGGAGGCCATGTTGCCATCCGCAAAGAACGGATCTGGCCAGAGCGCCTACCCCTTCGAGGAAGGCAAGTCGAGAGAAGAGAAAAACGACTGCCGCCAGAGTTCTACCGTCACCAACAAAATCTGTTCCGAGTGTGGAGGAGCAGATCAGTTGTACATTACTGTAAACAAGTTCAATCAGAAAGTCAGCCTCATCATTCTGGAGGCTTTCATGCTTTTTGGTGGAAGAGCCGCTATGGTTCATTGTAGCTATATAGCTCAAGCTGTTAACTATCTCGCACTATCGCCATGGCACTATGCCCATCTCCCCACAGTTTTCTCCCTCAGACCGCAAAGTGCTGGAAACAACAGTAAGCCATGTGAGCCAGTCAACAGGCAGGGGCATAAGCCACCAAAGTGGTCGGGTTTATGTTTCCTCTTGCTAGATCTGCTGGTGTCCTTAGTGTCTTTGGGCCGTATCTCTAATCCCTGAGTGTTTAGGGAGGAACACTCCAACCAAGCACAGTCAAAGATCACCTCATCGTCCTCATGCGCAGCGCTAACATCCCACCTATCCGGACTGGCTAAGCCGCCATGCGTGTGAAGCGGCACAAGAACCATCGGAGAATTTTGCGCTTCTTCAGAATAACATTCGGAGTTCAGGAGCATCCAAACAAGTTTTCATGCACCTTTAATGTGCAGGGTTTTGCAACGTGAGTTTTAGAGAGTACGAAGAATGCAGCGCCATGCAGCGCCTTGCTTGATATAGTGTAGGGCCTGGTGTAGGGTACTCTTGCTGTGCTCAGCAGTTGGAATCACCGCTCTGGACTGTGGAGAGTAGCAGAATGTAGCAAGAAGACGATAGAAGATGCTAAAATGACATCTGAAGGTTGAGCTGTTGAGACCATGTGCCTCAACTCTTTGAGGGCCTGAAGAATCCTCATTGGACTGGCCTAACTTAACCCAAAAGCCTTCAGCCCAGGAGCCTTACCACGTCTTGGTAGATGGCACCTTTCTCACGCATGCGTTGCAGCAGCGCATCTATGTCAAGGCTTTGGGCTTTGGAAGGTGTGAGCCTGTGTGAGCACGGAGTAGCACTGCGGGGGGCGTTGCGTTCGGCAGGAGCAGCTTCCGAAGATGTTGGAAGGTCGGAGTACTCCGATGGTCACCAACTGCGTGCTGGAGGAGCTTCGGGCCTTGGGCGAGCGCGCCTTAGGTGCTGCCATCATCGCCAAGGGGTGCCTTGGCGAGGTATGGCGAATTGACAGTGCTCGTGGTCCAAGGACGTCTAGGCATGACTTAAGGCTATCGCGACATATCGCGACTTACTTTATCCCAGAAATCCTCTCTCCGGGCTACAATGAAGTTTGATTTTGTTCCCCAGATGACGTTACTCTCTGTAGGGTTGCATCCGAGTTGCATAGCCTTCATGGAAGGGCTTGGCATGAACCTTCGTGTTTTTTTTGAGTGACAGAAACTCCAAACCCTCAGTCGGAGACAAGCACTGATCTCCCAAGGTACTACCGATTGAAGTGTGGACATGAGACCCCAATTGTCGCTGCCAAGTGTATCTGTCAGCAGATTGGGCAAAGCAATGAGCGCAGGCAGGACCAGCGGGGCTTCGCAGGGCTTCGCAGGGCTTCGCAGGGCTTCGCAGGGCTTCGCAGGGCTT